GCATTCATTGATTTGTGGGTCTTCCACTAAATATTTGTGGTGACTGAGGGTGTTAATGAATAATTCAATGACTTACAAACATGGCTGTTGTTACCCTTAAGTTGTTTATAAACCCATGTTACTAGCTGACCATGGCTGCTACTCCATTTGTTGCATGATGATACTGAAAAAGTTTTCCTGTAAAATTATTTTAATAATTTCACAACTCTTAGTTTCCATTGTCTGTACATATGGAAATCAATTTTCTGCAACCGAGGTACATGCCCTTAGTGGGAACTGAACCCAGGCCTCTCCGGCCCGTGGGCCAACGCTCCAACTGCTGAGCCAAACTGGTCAGGGCGAGAAAGCCCTGTTTTTATTCCCATAAATATTACATTTGTGTTCAGCAAAGCTTTTGCATTCACTTGCAACAAACATTCTCCTGACTGTAGATCATTTCATAGCCTATATTCTACCTCCTTGGATTTCTCATACAATGTTATTGCTCAACAGAGTAGAATAAATCATTTAACTCTCTTACACTCATAATAGTAACCTCTTTTATAGCTGGTAAAATTAATTTTCTCTTCTATTGTTTGGGTTACCACAGATTGCTATCATTTGTGCTATTCTTTAAGAAATGATACCTTATGTCCTTCAGATTAGATTTAAAAGAAACATTTCGGGGATAGTACTATGATTTTCAAAGTTTCCTTTAATTTCTGAAGTTTCCATCTTTTCTAACTCTGCATCTTTTAAAAAAATGAAATATTCACTTAATCTAGATGAATTTTAAAAAACTATGTTGTCAGTTTGGACACTTTCAAATATTCAACTAAATATTCTCAACATTTAAAAAATTTTATCAAATTTATTGGGCTGGCATTAGTTAATAAAATTATACAGGTTTCAAGTGTACAATCCTATTATACATCATCTGTATGTTGCATTGTGTGTTCACCACTGTAAGATGGTCTCTCATTCTAATTTTGATTTGCATTTCTCTAATAACTAGTAAAGTTGAGTATCTTTTCATATACGTTTTGGCTACTTGTATATCTTCTTGGGAGAGGTGTTGGTTCAGGTCCTCTGACCATTTTTCAATTGGATTGTTTGTTTTTGTTGCTCAACACCTTTTCTTTACATAGTATTTAAAAAATTGCTGTTTTTGCTCAGTGGTTAGAGAGCATTGGCCTGCAGTCCTGAGAGACCCAGGTTCGGTTCCCGCTAAGGGCATGTAACTTGGTTGCAGTTTGTCCCCAGCCCTGGTTGGGTCGTGTGGGTGGCAACCACTCGATGTGTCCCTTTCACGTTGATGTTTCTCTCTCTCTCTCTTCCTCTCTCTCCCTCCCACTCTATCTGAACAAAAAAATGGAAAAAATGTCCTTGGGTAAGGATAAAAAAATAAATAAATAAGGGCAACATTAGTACATTTTTGTGAAAGGTATAGAATCACTAAGAATACACCAGCCACAATGTAAACTGATAGTGGGGACTCAGACAGAATGAGCAGTGTTAATATAGATGGTATGGTTTTTTGAATTATTGATTAAGTTCCAAATGACAACCAAAACAGTATAACAGTTGTATTCTTGGAAAATTCAGCATGAATTAAAACTCTGCAAAGCACACATGTTTGCATCTAAAATGGAAATGGTTTTGGACTCAAATATAAACAGGCTATTACCTACATAAGAAACATGAGGTGGGAGACTCAACAGTTGGTTAGAAAAGAAAATACTTCCATTTTTTGGAAAGGCAACCCACTGTATGGGAGAACATTATTGTCAATGATGTATCAGATAAGGGGTTAATTTCCAATATATATAGAGTGCTTATACAACTCCACAAAAGGAAGACAAAGAACCCAATTAAAAAATGGGCAGAGGAGCTGAATAGACACCTCTCCAAACAGGACATACAAATGGCCAAGAGACATATGAAGAAATGCTCAACATCACTAATCATCAGAGAGATGCAAATTAAAACAACAATGAGGTATCACCTCACACTTGTCAGAATGGCCGCCATCAACAAATCATCAAACAACAAGTGTTGGCGAGGGTGTGGAGAAAAGGGGACTCTAGTGCACTGCTGGTGGGACTGCAGACTGGTGCAGCCGCTATGGAAAACAATATGGTGCTACCTCAAAAAATTAAAAATTGAACTTCCATTTGACCCAGTGATCCCACTGCTGGGAATATATCCTAAGAAGCCTGAAACACCAATCAGGAAGAATATATGTACCCCCATGTTCATAGCAGCACTATTTACAATAGCTAAGATCTGGAAACAGCCTAAGTGTCCACCAGTAGACGAATGGATAAAAAAGCTGTGGTACATATACACAATGGAGTACTATGCAGCGGTAAGAAAGAAAGATCTCTTATCCTTTGAGACGACATGGAGGGACCTGGAAAGTATTATCCTAAGTGAAAGAAGCCAAGCAGAAAAAGACAAATAGCACATGATCTCACTTATATACGGAATATAATGAACATAACAGTCTGAGGAATACAGTAGACCCAGACACATGGAAGTAGGGCACAGACTGACATCCCTCAGAAGAGGGGATGGGGGGTGGGGGGGTGGGAAGAGATAAACCACAGAACTTATATGCATGTATGCATGACCAATGGACATGGACAACTAAGCCGGGGACAGGGTGGAGGGGGGGTGGGGTGGGGGGTGCCAATGGGGTAAAAAGGTAAAATTTCTGTAACAAAAAAATAAATAAAAATTCATATATATATATAAAAAAAATACTTCCATTTTTGAAAAAGGGTTGTGTCTGGCATCCCTGGACCCCATGTGGTATCCCCCAATTCACTGTGACAACCTAAACCACTGAAGAATTTTCAAAATGCCCCCTGATCAGTATTATGAATGCTATTGAATCATTAAAAAGATGCAACTACACTTTTAAAAGCTTCCGAACCTACTTTCTCATAAATATTCATTTCATAGATATTATATGCTGAAAGTATATTTGAAGCAGTAAGAAAGCTATTTATCCAAGAATTGACCATCAACCCTAGTCATTATCTATTGATTCCTCTAAAATATTGTCGATAGCATTCCCAGGAATTTGAAAGGGGCTCCTCAGTCAGAATGTGGAAAAGGATATGGCCTGTAAGCTTTAGGCATAATAGCTGTCATCTGTTCAGAACTTGATACTTTGGAAGTTTGTGACTCTTTTTTTATTTTATTTTATTTTTTTCTTTATTGATTTTAGAGAGAGAGGAAAGGAGAGGGAGAGAGAGATAGAAACATCGATGAGAGAGAACATCGATTGGCCGCCTCTTGCATGCCCCACAGTGGGGATCAGGCCCACAACCTGGGCATGTGCCCTGACTGAGAATCGATCCAGAGACCTCTTGGTGCATGGGCCTATGCTCAACCACTGAGCCACACCGGCCAGGCGTGATTATTATTTTTTTGTTAGTGTTGACCCCGCTACTATTTAATAATGTTTAGGAAAAAATCTAGCCTATCTCTGCTATATGAAAGGAACACGGTGCTAAAGGAGGGGTAAAATATACAAGAAAGGTACTAGTCAAGATGTTGGCCAGCAACCTTCTTCCAGAACTCACCTGAAGATTTTTCCTTCTGGTGCCAAAACCTTAAAGATGCTATGTTTTATTTTATTAAAGGAAGACAATGTCTTCACACTAAGAGACTCAAAATGGGTTAGGATACATTTCTTAAGACACATCCCTTCAGGCTAAGGACTCACCCTTTTAAGCTACCATTATTACCCCAATGTAGAAAGCAGATTCAAAACACAGCAAGGCAAACGATGATCCTTAAATTAACAGAATTACTTCTCCATAATACAATCTAGAGAAAAGACAATGTGGAAATATAGGCAAGGACAATAGAAATGATATACACTAAGAGATCTGGGACTACATGATAAAGGTTGGATGAATTACACTAGTGTAAGGTTTCTCGACTTCTGCACTACTGACATATTGGGCAGGAGCATTCTTTATTGTGGGACGCTGCCCTGTGAACTGCAGGGTATTTGCAGCATTCCTGGCCTATGTCCATTAGATGCCAGTAGCAGCCCTTTCTCCCAAGACCAAAACTGACTTTAAATACTGGCATGCCCCCTGTGGGCAAAAACGTCTCCTGTTGAGAATCACTACACTAGTGCTTCTCAAACACTAATGTGCATACATATCAGTTGAGGGGCTTGTTAAATGCTGACTTAATAGGTCTGGGGTAGGGTCTGGCACTATCTAGTCCAAAGAAGATCCCAGGTGAAGCCCAAGCAGCCCATCCAAGGATAACATTTGCTTCTTGGAAGACAAATTTACAGCTTTCTACCAGTCAACACATACAGGTTCTCAGAGTACAGAGTAGAAGTACACTCAAGTATGGATCATTGAAAATATTGTCAAGCAGGGTCTGCATATCATATTACCATGCCTTTAGTTGTTAAGAATGTTAGCAAAATTTAACATAAATAAGTGAAAGGTTTGTGTGTTTTTTTTAACTTCGGAGCACTTTATGAACTATTATAGCTGTTCTCAAACCTTTTGGTCTTGGGATCCCTTTAATACCAAAATAGAGAACTGGAAGAGCTTTTGGGGACCGCCCAAGAGAGACTGAGCATGCGTAGAACACTCTAGGCGTCCCTCCAAGCAGAAGATAGCGGTCGCGATGGAATGTTCACGCCGGCATTCCCGAAGACTAGGGTACCCTCGGCGTGCTGGCGGAGGTGACCATGAGTGTGCCGCTCCCAAGAGTTACACCTTGGCCCCTCCCACACCATCCCATTCCTTTTTCAAAGGTCATCCGTCCCCTCGGAAAACCTGGAGAGGTGGATCCAATAGCGGTGGATGTACTTCCCTTCCCAAGCAGGAAGGGAGGCGGAGGACAGAGCGGTGCGCCTCCTAGGATGCGCATGCGCTTTTCACAGGCGGCCCCTGAGGTAGAATCCAGTTGCTGGATTCGCTGCCTCGTGGGGAGTGCGCCTGCGCGGTCGCAGTCTCTCCACCTCTGCTTCCCCTCCCCCTAGTGCCCCGCGGGGGCTCCGGGTCAGGCGGGACCATGTTCAGCAGCACCGGCTCCAGTGGGCTTTGTGAGTACCGGCCGCCGCCATCCTGGCTGTCCCCTACACGCCACCCTGCACACCTCCTTGAGGAGGCTGGAGGCAGCGGGGGCCCTCGCGGTTGCTGGAGGTGTGGGGGCCGATCCTCCATCCTGGCGCCCGCACCTTGGTGGTCCCTGCCCGTGGGAGGCAGCGGGCATCGCCCTCTCGTCATCTCGGGAAGGCGAGTGGCGACTTAGTCCCGCCTCCAGCCCCGGCCCCCCACCTATGAGCCCCAGGTGCAATGCTCAGGTGCTCTGGGGACTGCTCCGGCGGGGTGCCCTGGTGGTGCCCTGGCCCGGCCCCTGGCCCGGCCCCTTGCCCTCAGCAGTACGTGTGTCAGGCTGAAATGTGAGGCTGACCCGGCGGAGGCGATGCTGGAAGCTGCCCCCTTCCTTGTCAACCTTTGCTCCATTCATTTAGGCTAAAGAGACACAAACTGGCTCTCTCCCGGATGTAAACTCCAGCTTCTGGTCCAGGAGCTGACTTCTCAGTTTTACTTAGATTTCTGCCTTTCTCAGTCTCACTTAAGAGTTTTCAGACAAACAAAAACGGATTGAAGTACTTTTAAAATGGAAGGAAGTTAGGAAGTCGTGTGGCAGGAAAGCGTGGACCCTATGGCTGGATGTTGCTATGATTTTTTGAGTTTCAGCGATGGTCTGCAGACAGAGGGCGGAGAAGTATATATAGCCTTTTAAACAGTTTCTCACTGAAATTGTTTAATTAATTGAGTTTTGGTAACGCGGACTGTATGTTAACCACACAGCACCGAAATTAGGCACTGATACACCAACAAGTGAATTGTTTGAACAGCTGTAATTTTATAATTGCTTGTCACTGTTAGCACTTCATATCTTTATACATGTGAAGTTAATCTTGCCAGAGTACAGATGGAGTAGACATTTCCAAATATTAAGGGTCTGTTGTGAATGTTAAGAATCTTTTTTTTGAGAATACATGTCTTAATGGGAGAGTGAGTTAGTATCAGAGCCACAGGCATAATTTTAAATCTTCCTCACTTCTCAACTTCTCAGGTTTTGAAGTGGGCTTAATATTTATGATTCCCCCTTGTTTCATAATTCATTTTACTTATGGACTCTTTCAAGCATTGGCCTTAGATTACATTACAACTAAGTTCTAGCTAATAAATTTTCTCCAAAACATAAAGAACATTGTGACTGTTGAGGAAACAGAGTCAAGTGGGTGATCTAATTTTCCTGGTATTGTATAGTGAGTCATACACTGATAGATACAAAATTAATGGTAGAATTCTTCAATTTTAGTTCTTTCAGTATTTTGAGCTATCCTTCCTTGCTGACCAAAATACATATAAAAAATTAAAAAGGCAAATGAAGTCCATCACTATACAATACTGTATTAACCATTATATTGACCAATTTGATACATGGTGACTGTGGAGAAAGTAATACTTGATTATCTGTGGCACATGGTGGGTGAGTATTGAATTCTAGGAACCAAACTGCTGCCCAGGGAGAGGCCTAGGCCAAGGGCTCCTTAGCTATCTCGCCCTGTTTCTAAAATAAGTGTATCCACAGCGTAGATGTTGATGGGATGGCCATTCCTCAGAAGACCATGTCTTATGTATTTATTTAACAAACATTCTGGGCATCTACCATGGACCAAAAACTGGTAGGTGCTGGGAATGCAACACTGAACAAGTCTTGGTCCCATTGTTTATAGTGCTTAGGCAGTTTTTCCAGGAGTGGTCTTTTGGCAAGTCTGGAAGTGAGCAGTTAGCCTACTTTAAAGTTTTTCTTTGCAAGGCTACCCACTGAGAGGGAAGTGATTTCCTTTAGGTAAGAAGTGAGGCTCTCTGGTAAGTCACAGAGTTCTGATCCTGATTAAGTATCCCAAGAATAATCTGCCTACCTGTGCCGGCATGGGTAGTGAACAATATTCTCTTTTTGAGGGAAAAATTTCTGCCATTTCCTACCACCTGCCTACTTCCCACATTTTGTGACTAGAATGGTATTTTAGTGTTACATTTGCTCCCCCAGTTCATTTATTCATTCAACAAGTTGTTGCGTACTCACTGTTCATGTACAGAGGGTAAAGTGGTAAGCAAGATAAAGGAGACCAACATCAAATAGGTTAATAAATAATTAATGTGATTTCAGATAGTGATAAGTATCATGAAGAAAATAAGAGGGTAATGAGATATCATAACCTTACACCTGTTAGAATAGCTTTCATCAAAAGGACAAGAAATAACAAGTGTTGGAGAGGATGTAGAGAAAAGATAATCCTTGCACTGTTGGCAGGAATGTCAATTGGAGCAGTCACTGGAAAAACAATATGGAGATTTCTCAAAAAATTAAAGCTAGAATTACCATATGATTCAGCAATCCCACTTCTGGGAATTTTTCTGAAGAAAACAAAAACACTAACTCAAAAATATATATGCATGCCCATGTTCACTGCAGCTTTATTTACAATAGTCAAGGTATGGAAACAACCTAAATATCCATTAACTACAGGGATGGACCTCAAAGGCATTATGCTAAGTGAAATAAGTCAAACAGAGAACGACAAACACTATATGATCTCACTTATATGTAGAATTTTAAAAAACAAAACACACACACACACACACAGCTTGTAGGTACTGAGGACATATTGGTGGTTGCCAGAGGTTGTGGAATTGAGTAGGAGAAATGGGCGAAGGGGATCAAAGGTTCAAACGGCCTGTTATAAAATAAATAACTCATGGGGATGTAACGTACAGCATAGTAGCTCTAGTTAATGATGCTATATTACATATTTGAAAGTTGCTAAGAGAGTAGATCTTCAAAGTTCCCATTAGAAGAAAGTTTTTTGTAACTATGTAAGGTGATGGATGTTAATTAGACTTATAGCGGTGATCATTTCACAGTATATACAAATATGGAGTCATGTTATATACCTGAAACTAATATAATGTTATATGTCAATTATACCTTAATAAAAAAATTAAAATAAGGATTTTAGCTAAGAAGTAAAGACAGGTATTAACTAGGGAAGGGCAAACGTAAGAGAGGATACTTTTAAAAATGATTTTTATTTTCAGTCTAAAAGTAAAATTAATTACATTAAAGACAGTTTGGAAAATAGAGAAAAACTGCTGTTACCATTTCTATTCATTTTCTTCATCTTTTTTTTCTCCTACACATTTATGTTTGTGTTTTAAATGAACTGATGTTGTTATAAAATAAACATATGTTCATCAAAGAAAATTCTGAAATATGGAAAAGTAGTTGGAAGAATTAAAAATAGCTTTTATTGACATCTTGATGTTTATCTTCATACTTTTTCCAGTGCAAAAATGAATATCCAAATAAATAATTAAAAGTAAATTTATAGAACCTAAATATTGTTTGTAACTTTTAGGTCACACAACAGACTTCTAAAATGAGGAAACTGAGGCATTTAAAAGCTGTTGAGGAGCAGTACTAGAATTCGTACCCAGACTGGCTCCCTATTCTGTGTTCTAAACTAATTCACACTACTGCTTCTCAGACCCTCAAATGATAAGTTTATTTACATTTATCTCTCTTGAACTCTGGGATATTCATAGGCCAGTGATGAATGGAATAGCTCAGGTTAGCAGTGGGCTATTTCCCAATCTTTGAGAATTGCATGACTGTGTCCTGGAAGTTGCTTTTCATTACTCCCCTTGTGACTGCTGCAGCTGTTGACTCAGGTGCTCCACCACTTTCCTTCTGATGGCTTCTAACCACCAGTCTCCCTCTTTTCTTCCTAACTCAGAGCCAAGATACTGTTTTGCTTTCAGTAGAGATGTTTTATGTACCAATTAGGATCTTTTTTGTAATAGTTAATGCTGCTATAGTTATTTTTGTTTGCATATTTTTCTTTTCCACTTCTTTTCCCTTATTAGTCAAGTTATTATCTTCCTCCAACTTTTCCCAACCTATCTCAATATCAGTGTTAGTAATAAAGGTGGAACCTACCTTAAATCAAGCTATTTTAAAAATGTATTTCTATGGAATTTTAACAGGTACAACCTGATAAAGAATGTCTTGTAAATAGTTTACTCTAGCATTTTTCAATTGTGCTTTGGTGGAACACTGGTACTGTGAGGGTCTCCTTAAATTTTTTTTAATTAAAAATTGTTTTACGTGTATATTTAACCCAAAATGTGTAATGTATGTACAGTTTATTTTATTTTCCCTAGCTTTATTAAGGTATAATTGGCAAATAAAAATTGTATATATTTACAGCAGACAGTGTTATATCTTGATATACATAAATATTGTGAAATGATTATTAGAGTCAAGCTAATTAACATATCCATCACCTGATACAGTGTTTGTGTATGTGGTGAAACATTTAAGATCTACTCTCAGCAAATTTCAAGTATAGAATACAGTATTATTACCTGTAGTCACCATGTTGTATATTGCTTAAGTTTTAACCTTCATTTAAATTATGATTATAGTGCCCTGGCTGGTTTGGCTCAGCAGTTAGAGCGTCGGCCGGCGGTCCAGAGAGTCCCGGGTTTGGTTCCCGCTAAGGGCATGTACCGCGGTTTCAATTTGTCCCCGGCCCTGGTTGGGTCCTGCGGGTGGCAACCACTTGATGTGTGGCTTTCATGTCGATGTTTCTCTCTCTCTCTCTCTTTCCCTCTCTCCCTCTCTCCCACTCAATCTGAACAAAAAATGGAAAAATGTCCTCGGATGAGGATTGGAAAAATAAATAAATAAAATAAAAAAATAAATTATGATTATAAATGAGAATTATACTTTAACCTTCATTTAAATCATGATTCTCTTTTTCAGACATTTTTCTTAAGACTTTACAAGTTGAATTATCATTGTTCTCAGCCATTTTCCAGTGCTTACCTTCAGTGCTTTGAATGTAGCATGACCCTTCAGTCCTTTGAAAGAGCATGATACAGTAGTTCCCCCTTATCTACAAGGCATGCCATGCTAAGACCCCTGTGGATGCCTTAAACCACAGATAGTACTGAACCC